AATAAACTGGTAGATAAAGAAAGTTTGTTATACAGATAGATATAGTAGGTCACCAAATCAGTCAATGATACAATAAACTGGTAGATAAAGAAAGTTTGTTATACAGATAGATATAGTAGGTCACCAAATCAGTCAATGATAAAATAAACTGGGAGATGAATAAAGTCAGCTGCACAAGGTAACTCTGGTTGGTTGTAACACAAGTAGATCCAAAGAGGTCAATGATAAAAGCCAGTTTTTGTAATCGATTTTGCAACAAATATAATCTAAATTATATATTTAAAACAAATATTTTATATAAGGAACAGTATGTGACTACAAACTAAGACAACCAGTATCAGTTAGCTTAAGTTAGGATATCTAAGTAAATAGTGCCTGTTAAAAATAGAACATTCTTATTCTTTAACCATTCATTTAATGACAAGAATGGTGACATTCGTAATGTTAACAATGCAGAGTAAACCTGTAGATAACAACAGTATCTACACTTTACACCCTTGAAAAAGGACAGCAAAACCCTCAAAAGACTTTAAGTAAAAAACAGGTTAGTATTATTCAGAGCAGTACTGGCCAGGGTCTTCCAGAAGCACTGAGATGTCATTATAGTTGGTTGTTCTCAGAGGTCAGCAGCAGTCGTAAACTTCCTGTAAAACAGGTTCTGAATATTTATTAGGTCTTTAAACCTTGATATTATCTAACACACTGTTTGACACATTTGTTTACTTTAGCACAATGGGCTATTTGTGCTCCCTCCACAGTGGGGAATTGAACCCCAGGTTTCAGAATTATAAGCTTACAGCTGGCCCACCGAGTACCAGAATTTGGTTAAAATAAAACAAAATCTTTACTGATCACCATTTCACTAGTAAAATCTCAAATTCTCAGTTCGTTATTTCAAAGATATGCAGCAGTTATTAACAAGTCCCCCAGAAATAAGTCCGAGGGCTTAAAGTGCTAAAAATCAGGTTTCAATACCCACAGATAGCCCATTATATTGTTATCAACAAATGATTCAGTTTGATATATAAAAACATTGCTTTATTATCTCAGGCATAAAGAGCATGTAAGTATTGGCCCTTATCCTAACATGATATCCATTACTGAGAGACTGTAGAAAGAATAATACAAAAGAAATTCAAAGTAAAGCTTACTTCTTTAAGAAAGGGCACATTTTGAACAACGGTCCAAAAATACAACACACAGCATTATAGCAACCTGGAGGTATGAAACAATAGGCAGTGAAATAATTAGGAGGAAATCTAGGAACCCGATTGTGACGTTGCTGGTTGCTCCCTGCCTGGCGAGAAATAAAAATAATTTCAGATCTTTCAAGGTTAAATAAAAACAAAATGTATAATAAACATAATAATCACTGATTTATTTTATAGTACATTATTGTTCGAACTATAATCTCGGGAACAGTTAGACTTGAATAACATCCATTAGTGTTACAAACTGTTCAGTGTTATTAGTTAGTTTATTTAGTGATCTAATTTTTAATAATTCCAGAAATAATTTCAGATGTTTCAAGGTTAAATAAAAACAAAATGTATAATAAAAATAATAATCACCGATTTATTTTATAGTACATTATTGTTCCAACTATAATCTTGGGAACAGTTAGACTTGAATAACATCCATTAGTGTTACAAACTGTTCAGTGTTATTAGTTAGTTTATTTAGTGATCTAATTTTTAATGATTATTTAGTTTTCATAAGAAGAATGTTAAAAGTCAATTATTTTAAGAGTGACAGTTATGACTAGTTTCGTTAAATAACTCTGTACGAGTCATACATGTGGTATGTAGTTTGATTGTTGTACTAGGGGGTTTGTAATATTGTTGACGTCATCTTACTAAAAGCTCCTAAGTTTTTCTCATTATGTTTAATATTGTTGTTACTAGAGGGCTAGACATTTCTAGATTTTTCTGTCGCATGTTATAAATACGTGCAGATAAAGAGAGGAAGTTAAGATAGTGAAACTAAAAGTGAAGTTAGACTGCTTGATTGTTATTTTAGTTGTAACGAGCGATTTCTACAGTGAGTTTCATAGCCTGTATTGTAAAAACAGAGACAAAGAAGAATAATTCATCTTGTCAAAGGGTTTTCTAAAGTAATTGAACCCAACTGTGTGGACTTTTGACATAAAAGAGAATTATTTAAAGCTCTGGATACAACTGTAGTAACCCATGGGGTAACATAATTGAATTTTTCACAGCTTGTATTGTGATAACAGAGTAGAGAAGAAATAATTAGTCTTGTCAATTGTGTTCTAAAGAAACTGAACCAGCTTGTGTGGACCTTTGACGAAAAAGACAATTATTTAAAGCTCTGGATACAACTGTGGTAACCAATAGTGTAACTAATTTTGTTTGTACATATGTTTGACTTGTTTTGAATATATTATTTTAAAACAAGTGGATTGTGTACTGTCAGTAGATTGTTTAAATATATCACCAACAAGTCACAGGCACCTACTGTAAAGAGTCACGGCTACTATAAAATAGCATCTTACAATAAATAATCAACAAACAGTAGAAGGAGTAATCTGGATAGTAAACACCAAGAATAGGATGAAATGCCTTAAGACCAAGTAATCGTAGATTAATCGTTAATTAATTAACTCTTATATGTCAGGAACAGCAAGTTTTCTTAGTATAAAAGTTTGTATGTTACTATTCTGTTAATTGATGGAATGTAAATAATTAACATAAGCTAAACTTATAACTAAAGTTTATAATTATGGTATAGGATACTAAACTTATAACTAAAGTTTATAATTATGGTATAATATACTAAACTTATATCTAAAGTTTATAATTATGGTATAGGATACTAAACTTATAACTAAAGTTTATAATTATGGTATAAGATACTAGACTTATATCTAAAGTTTAAAATTATGGTATAGGATACTAGACTTATAACTAAAGTTTATAATTATGGTATAGGATACTAAACTTATAAGTTCCTGACGATGTATATTTTATTAACATTTAACAGTAATAGACAAAACGGTTTTTTAAAATAGTGACTATGTACCATTGGTATAATTTAGAATATTCAAGTAAATGACCATACCCTTCTGGGTTGAGCCAGTGGAAATCCAATGTTCAGACTCGGAAACATTGTTCTCATCGACAGGATGCTGTTAGAGAAAATAAACATTTACGTCAAGCCATACGATGGAAATTAATTTCGTAATGTAGCTAAGAGGGTTGCATGAGTAGCTAGCGTCCACGAATTTTGAATCAGAGGATTCGTGGTTTGTGGCTCGTTGCCCTAAAACCACGCTCCGCAAGTTAGGCCATGAGTGCGCCATAAGAGTGACAGTCTAATCCTACTCTACGATCAAATAAGAGTAGCCCAAGAGTTGGCGGTGGGTGTTGTTGACTAGTTGCCCTCCCTCAGTATATAATTAAGGAAAGCAATACATAATGGTCTTTTTGTGTATTTGAGCAAAAAATAAACAAAAATCTTGTAAATTTATTAGAGTCGGTATTGAAGTGGTTATCCAACTGGCCTCTACTGTATCTGGAAATGATATGATGCCAAAGACCAGCTAGTTACAGTATTCCTTCCAGTGGGTAGCTCTCCTAATTCAATCCCATTGAACTGAGCACAAACAGTCACTACTTTGTCTTCTTACACTAAGACGCACCTTTCATGACAAATATTGGAAAAGAATACAACATGCACTATGTTCTTACTCGGGCGCCACCTGACGTCCTGGGTAAATCGTTGTAACAGGGACTACTTCTCCACGGGCACCACCTGTGGTCCTGGATAAATCGTTGTAACAGGGACTACTCTCCACTCGGGCGCCACCTGACGTCCTGGGTAAATCGTTGTAACAGGGACTACTTCTCCACTCGGGCGCCACCTGATGTCCTGGGTAAATCATTGTAACAGGGACTACTTCTCCACTCGAGTGCCACCTGACGTTCTGGGTAAATCGTTGTAACAGGGACTACTTCTCCACTCGGGCACCACCTGTGGTCCTGGATAAATCGTTGTAACAGGGACTACTTCTCCACGGGCGCCACCTAACGTCCTGGGTAAATCGTTGTAACAGGGACTACTTCTCTACTCAGGCACCACCTGTGGTCCTGGATACATCGTTGTAATAGGGACTACTTCTCCACTTGGCGCCACCTATTAAAATCTGATTCTACAAAGTGAACTAACTACTGTTATATCGTATTCATTGTCTAGGCCCAATTGACGTCACATTTTGGTGTTCTGGATACTATAAGGAAGATTGAATTCATATTAATTGTAGTATATATTTGGATAATATGAACTTTAGCCTCTTACACACATATATAAATTAACACCAGTTTGGTTTACATTACCTGTCTATTGTCCTCAATACTTCTGGGAGAAAAACTGTGTTCACTGCCTCCTGGGGGTTCTTTTGTGAAACTACTGTGACTGTAAGACATCCGAGGGAAACCTGCTGAATACCGGAGATGATGGTTTTCATCATAAGGTTGTAGCTTAAACCATCGTGGTTGTTCGTGTAGCACAGTCTGATCTGAAATGTATATTTAGTAGAAACCTCGTGATTCTTCATTCACATGTGTTTTTAACATTTATGTGAGTCACTGTTTGAAGTTAGTACAAAATTTACAAGACTGTATACAGTTTAAGTTAGTACAAAGTTTACAAGACTGTATACAGTTTGAAGTTAGTACAAAGTTTACAAGACTGTATACTGTTTGAAGTTAGTACAAAGTTTACAAGACTGTATACTGTTTGAAGTTAGTACAAAGTTTACAAGACTGTATACTGTTTGAAGTTAGTACAAAGTTTACAAGACTGTATACAGTTTAAGTTAGTACAAAGTTTACAAGACTGTATACAGTTTAAGTCAGTACAAAGTTTACAAGACTGTATACAGTTTGAAGTTAGTACAAAGTTTACAAGACTGTATACAGTTTGAAGTTAGTACAAAGTTTACAAGACTGTATACAGTTTGAAGTTAGTACAAAGTTTACAAGACTGTATACTGTTTAAGTTAGTACAAAGTTTACAAGACCGTATACTGTTTGAAGTTAGTATAAAGTTTACAAGACTGTATACAGTTTAAGTTAGTATAAAGTTTACAAGACTGTATACAGTTTAAGTTAGTATAAAGTTTACAAGACTGTATACAGTTTGAAGTTAGTACAAAGTTTACAAGACTGTATACAGTTTAAGTTGGTACAAAGTTTACAAGACTGTATACAGTTTAAGTTAATACAAAGTTTACAAGACTGTATACTGTTTGAAGTTAGTACAAAGTTTACAAGACTGTATACAGTTTAAGTTAGTACAAAGTTTACAAGACTGTATACAGTTTAAGTTAGTACAAAGTTTACAAGACTGTATACAGTTTAAGTTAGTACAAAGTTTATAAGACTGTATACAGTTTAAGTTAGTACAAAGTTTACAAGACTGTATGCTGTTTGAAGTTAGTACAAAGTTTACAAGACTGTATGCTGTTTGAAGTTCAACATGACTTTCTGACGTCGCGGAAAGTGTTTGTTTACTAGAAATTTTCAGATTGGCATTGTTACAGATTACTGTTTTAATTAGACAGCATTCATACACGTGCTTGGCATTGTTACAAACCATTGTTTAATTAGACAGCATTCATACACGTGCTTGGCATTGTTACAAACCATTGTTTAATCAGAGAGCATTCATACGCGTGCTTGGCATTGTTACAAACCATTGTTTAATCGGACAGCATTCATACACGTGCTTGGCATTGTTACAAACCATTGTTTAATCAGACAGCATTCATACGCGTGCTTGGCATTGTTACAAACCATTGTTTAATCAGACAGCATTCATACACGTGCTTGGCATTGTTACAAA